CGAGCTGTAACTGAACAAGACTTGAACAATTCGAGATCGTGGTCGGTATCGAACCGGAGATTTTGTTGTCGCTGATCATAAACTCTTCAAGAAAAGACAAATGACCAATGGAGATTGGGATGGAGCCAGAGAGCAGATTTAAAGACAAATCTATCATTTTGAGATTGCTGCAGTTTCCGATTTCTTCAGGGATACCACCAACGAGACTGTTCTGCCATAGAAACAGCTGTTCGAGTTTAGCGAGCTTTCCTATCTCTCGAGGGATTGAACCAGACAAGCTATTCTCGTACAAGAAGATGTCCACAAGCTCAGAGCAGTTGCCTAAATCTGAAGGAATCTCTCCGCTTATCATTGTAGTGTAAATCGAGAGTGTTTGTAGCTTCTTGAGCTTACCTATAGAGGAAGGTAAATCACCGGAGACGCTAGTTTCGGCTAAACCAAGAACGGTTAGATTAGAACAATCTCCGATCTCCGGTGGGATTTTGCCGGAGATTTCTTTGTTCCCTCCGATTCTTATCACTTCAAGATCAGAGAGCTTCCCTATCTCCGGAGGGATAGTTCCGGTGAGAAGATTGTCGAAGAGGATTAAGTTCTTGAGCTTCGAACACTTGCTGATTTCCGGTGGGATTTTTCCGGCGAGCTGGTTTGAGTTGAGGATTAGGGTTTCTAGGTTACGAAGCTTGCTTAAACTCCAAGGAATCTCACCCACTAGACCGTTGGAGCTAAGGTCAAGAACCGTGAGACCAAGGCAGTCTCCGAGACTCTCCGGCAAAGCTCCGGTGATATTAGCGCCGGAGATGGTGAGTTTCTGGAGAGAACGAAGCTCCGGGAGATTCTTTGGCAAGGAGAGTTCGATTTGAACAGACTGAATGTCGATTTCGGTGACGAAACCTTGAGGAGAGCATGTAATGAAAGTCCAGTTGTTGCAGGGAGTGTTGTCGATGGAGTTCCAGTTGAAGAGAGAAAGAGAGGAAGGTGTTGGGGAAGAAGAGTGGAGCCATGAGTAGAGGAGAGAAGCTTCTGGGTTTTGCTCTGCATCAGAGAGAGAGAAACAGAGTATGAAGAAGAAAGAGAAGAGAAATGAGGAAGAAGAAGAAGAGATTAGGGAATGAAGAGACATTTGCCTCAAAATCCGAAAAGAAGTTTTTAAAATCTCGGGTTTAGACCCATTTAGGGTTTGGTGCCTCTTCTCTCTATCTCTGTGCTCTTTCTCTCTCGAAATCTGTTTCTTGCTTGATTTAAACTCAAGCTTATGAAGATAACACAGAGGGGTTTAAGTTCTGTTTTTTTTTTGGTGTGTTTTTTGTTTAATCTTTGGATAGAATTAAGAAAGAAAAATTGTGTGGCGATTTTAGAGAGGAGAAAGAGTACAAAGGAAAATAGGGAAACACAACGCCTTGAGATCAACAAAACTGCACCAGCCCACCTCTTTGCCACCTCACCTATTAATCTATTTTAAGCTCTATCTCTTCTTTACTATTATAATACTATAAATATTCATTTTTGTCAACATTTTAGTAATAAGGTTATATACGATAAGATGCTGCAAAATATTAGTTTATTTATTAGTTTGTAAATATTGTATTTTATAGTATTTTTTATTATTGGTTAAAAGTTTTGATATAATTTATAAGTTTTTCTAATGTAAAGACAAAAGATATAATTTGTATAATAATTTTCTTATCTCCGTATGTTTCATTAAAACATATAATAATTGAAACAAAAGATTATCATTAGCCCATATGAACATGTTTTGGACTTTTGGTATATGTATGAATAGATAAGAATTTTTTGAAACATTTACTGCTGAACTGATTTATTTTTTTAATCTAATCTAATTTTAGTAAACCAGTGCGTTTGCTCAAACCCCAAGCAAGTGGTTGAGTCGGTGATTCATTTTTATTCCCTTTGTTTTTAGTTGAGTATAGTTTATTTGACATTTAAAATTTTTGTAGTCTTGTAGCTTACTGGGTTCTCTATGTGATTGTGTTATCTTGTTGATTAACAAGTAATAAAAAGCTAGAATATAATGAACTGAAAGGGTTAAATCTTAAAAAAAGCTGTTCTAGAGATTAAGATATGGAAAAAGAACGCTCTCTACTCTTGTACGATAGTAGTTAATACATAATATTACACACACAAACACATGCATGTACGTATGTATATATACATACAACTAAGATTAGATCATTACTTTAAATTAATGTACAAAAGTGTCAACTTTGAATTTGAGGTATAGATAGTGTTATCCACTAAAATATACTATGTTTAGTATGTTCATTATATAGATTGAAGAGACTATCAAGCCACTCCAAGGCCAAAAATAGAAAACAGACTATAACGTCACTCCATATTACGCACACGGCACACCTAAAATCTAGATTATGTAATGACGTAATGTTTGAGTTATTTAGTTGTTCTTGTTCATCGTGTGCTCTCAACTAGTTTAGTTCATGTAATTTAAATAAACATGAGAATCTTTTGAAATAAGAGAGGACTAGACTTGAACACTTTGATCGATCCACTGCCTTTTTCCACTTGTAAAAGTTAATTGGTTAGGCATATAATGATCCTGAATACTATACGTATACGGTATACCGGTATACGAATACAAATGAGAGATAAACTCCCTAAATTATAGTGTTAGTTATGCTTTCTTTCCGATTTCTGTCATCTTTTTGTTTTGATCCATTTATATATTCTAAATAAATAGTAGCAATTTTTAAAGCGAATACAAATAATATTGACCATAAAGGGTATGCATGCATACATAACGTTCTAAAAGAAGATATTAAAAATAATAAATAAGATATGTATGTAATTATATAAACCAATATAAGAACGATATACAAAATCATGCCAAGAGAATAGATAGATTACGCAAGTTGTATATAATTAGCAAGAAATTAAGAGTGTAGTGTGGCATGCATCACTTTTCATAAAATAGGAAAAATGAACTAAGACATTAGCATCATTTCTCATTTTAAGAGAAAATGAGATTAGCATCTTCATTAACCGAATTAATAATAAGACTTGTGGCCTGTGGGTAAATAAAGAAACCGAAAGAAAAGCAAAAGATGGGTGAGTTTAGGTTTAATGGTGGAGAGGACAAAACAACAATCCCTGATTTTGAGGATACCTCACGTGACCACAACGAGCCTCACTCATTCTCACCTACCCTAATTCCCCCTCTCATGATTATTACTTTTATTTTACATTTAATCTTTTTTCAAATACCTTACATTTTACTTTTTACCTCTTATGTAAGCATTTTCTCATGCCAAATTAGTTATTTGCAACTACTTCATTACACCAGATAACCTTGTTTTCTTTATTATTTCTAACAATTATTGGTCATAGATTATCTTTTTGGTCCTAAGTTTGTTAATAGTTTGACTATGGTTCTTTAGCGTAGAGGGGTGGTAATTAACCGGCACATGACAGATATTTAAGTCTTTTCTCTATAAGTATACTTTTGAAAAGATCAAATAAATTAGGAGAAGGTGGATAAATAATTAGTGCACCATGAGCCATTATTACAAGTAAACAAAAGAAAATAAAGCAGAGAAAGACCCTTAAGGGGCGAAGAATAAGGAAAGAAGAAAAGGGTTAAACGGCGCAGTTTTAGAAATAAAGAAATAAGAAGTGGTGTGTGGTGCCTTGTTTCAAGGGTCTTTGCCTCGAAAGACTCTTCTGTGGAATCTCTCCATGTTTTTGTTTATTTTCCCAAAATGTTCTTTTCTTTTTAACGTTACCACTTACTTACTTCATCAGTTTAAATTTAAAACGAATAAAGTAATTACAGGTTATACTTAGCTTTCTGTTTAAGATTATATTGAACTGTTTTTAGCATTTGAAAAACGACATGTCCTACTAATTAACTTTTAAGGGAATCAATCAAACTTTGGATCCAAATGCGTGTAGTTTATTGCTAGTGAGAGATGATCAAGATATTGATTATTCTCATGGACCCTATAAGTTTTTAGGGGTAAGGAGAAAATATAATGGGTTCCTGATAGGCCTATATCAGAAGGGTTCTAGGCCCACTATTTAGCAACTTCTAATATTTGAACAAGGGTTCAAATGTACACACGTAATATTGAATAAGAAAAATTATTGGGGAGTGATTTTATTCACTCCCTCGCCAATAAGAATATATCATCTAATATTATTGTAAAAAGTGGAGACAGTTCAGAAGTCTAATTCTTTTTCAAGTCTCTCAGTCAAACTCCACTTTTGGATTCCCTATTATTTGAGTTTTTCTTTCTTAATCTGTTAATTGCATTAATAAGTAGTGTTTATCTTGAGATTATGAGATACAACCCATTTTCAAAACTGGGGAAACAAACCAGAGGCAAAATTTATAGTAAAAATCTTTATAATCATGCAAAACAGGAGGTAAAAATCTTTATAATCATGTTATAGTCTTGTAGTATAGTAGTTCTTTTTTTGTTAGAAATTTTTGCTGGGCAGATTATATCATCCTGAGGATAATTTGGTAACTGGTAAGAGAAGGCTTGTATCTTGTTCTTGTTATTATGAGATAAGAAACTAAAGCTATAGGCACATTTTAAAGTTGCTCTCTTGTAATGGTTAATTTCTTGTAATTGATTACTTGATTGTGTAAAGAACCAAGTAGTTCCTCAACGAGCATCAAACTGATTCACAAGTCTCACAACCTTTGTTGAAGAGCAATTTCACTTCAGTTTCAACCATTATTGTCTCAACCTTGTGGATCATTTTCTATCCCATGTTTCATGTTTCATAGTGAAGAAAAACCCCTCAAACTGAGTTTATGTTAGCATGTACACCAACAACAATAACAGAACAATTCTTTATTTACGGTTCCTCATCTCACAAGACACTCGCTTCACCACGCAAAGGGTCTCTGGTTCATTCGATTAATTCGATTAAATTGCAAACACATAGCAAACAACATTTGTGAATATATATAAGACATGGAACAAATCAACCACTATATTTAGATGTCCATACCCGCATTTAACTGCCTTTTCATAGTAAATGTATTCTTAATCACTACAATCATTAACTAAAAACCAAGTACCAGAATGGGGTGATATCGATTAAAAAGAAGACCTCCTAAACCCCAAAACCAAATGGTTAGGCTTAGAGAACTGATCAACGCTTCTTGTCCTTGCTCTCTTGTCAAGGAGAAGCAAGCCGAGGTTAACCAAATTCTCTACCATGGAAAAAGAAAAAAGCAAAAAACTTTACACACTTGGTAATACGTGTGAAAAGGGGTTAGGCTTTGTTGTGTACTGAAACTACTAAATAGTATGAGAGAAGAAGAGAGAGATTATTAGCATGGCTTGCCTCTGCGGCAACCAAGTGCACCTGCAGTAGAAGTGATTGAGTCGACCATTGAGGCTGGTTTAGCCGTTAAGCTCGAGGCACGTGCATAGCTTGCTGATGCTCCTTCCCCTGATGGTATGAAAAACGCACCATTCACTAGCATGTCTCCTTCTGATCTCCAGTTCCAGTTCTTCCATTCACTTGTTTCTGTCTTAATCCTTTTTGTCACCTGTCCAGTTTCGTAAAAAAACAAAAAAACTCATTTTCTCAGTTCAAGCAATAGACAAGAAGAAGGCATCACTGAGTTTAAACCTCCTTGGCCGAGCGGTTTTTGGGAGCTGCATATCTATTGCCTTGGCTGTTTATAGTTGGGTTTGCACTTCCTCCAATAGCATACATTTCCCAGTGTGTGTAATCGTTGTTAACGACATGGAAGTATCCATGCCTACACCTGCAATAACCACATGGGAATCTCAGCTAATCGTATACATCTACTCAACAGAATGTGACATTGTAGATTTTTTACCTTGGCATTCTCTGAATAAGCCCCTCTCCAAAATGGTTGTACGCAATGGTCACTTGCATCAGCTTGTCTTGTGTGTACGAATCATTGTGGCCTAGCAACATAACCTGTTATTACGAGGTGATGATAAAGAAAATCAGAGCTTTATAACAAAAAGAAATGGAGAAGATTTTTTTAGCTGTTTGATTGATTGACCTCGTTGTGGTGTGTGAAATGGTTATTGGATATGGTAATGGCAGTGGATCCCATGATAACATCAACAAGACCATCCTCGCAGCTAGAGAGAGAGTTGTGGTCGATCCAGACATTTCTTGAAGCAAATATTGACACAGCATCACCATCAGCCATTCCTTTTGAGTTACCAGTTTTTTTGCAATCGTGAATGTGCAGGCCGTGAATGATGACGTTCGTCCTACGCAGGATGGTGATGCAAGCACCATTTGCGATGTGGACGTTAGAACCACGAGCATCAATGGTCTTGTAACTGTTCACGAGCAGCTCTTGTTTCAACTCTATCACCATGTCTCTTTTGAAGACGATCCAAAGTGGCTCGTCTTGGATCACTGCGTGGCGTAAAGTTCCGGGCTTGGGGTTCACAACGTCCTCGTCGGTTTGATCAGTGACGACATAGAAACGCCCATTACGACCACCAATGGCGTTACGACCAAAACCAATCCCACAATCCGCGAGTCGTTTACGGTTCTTGTGCCAGTTACGGTCGCAACGCCAACAGTCGTCTATTGGATTCCCGTTCCCACATGACAAGAAACCAAGCTTCCTCCTTGCGGTGATGTTCTGTTCGCTCCTGTAGATTCAATAGTTTGGAAATTATCTATAACTGTCTCCTCTGCTGATATCAGATACATAGACATTGAATCAAGAATGACTAAAATAGTTCCATTTTTGTCAAAAAGCTTTTGTTTTTTTTCTTTCTTTTCTTTTACCGGATACAGCCGATTGATTTAACATCTCAGCTTCTCTGCCATTTCGTTCATACCTAACATATTGACCAGCTTTCATATGTTTATAGTGACAACAAAGTGGTTGCTGTGTTTTAGTTCTATAATATTTTCTTTGACCCTCACCATGTAAACACTAAAACAGCTAGGATCCTAAAGTCGGTGACAGTAAAGAGAATACCAAAAAAATGTATCTTTTCTCGTGAAAAATACAAAACTTAATAAATAAGCAGAACATGCTTTATGGTTTCTCCTACTACTACACGACCAATAACATCACAAAACTCATTGAACCATGATTCCAACCAATCGCATAATTCAAATTTTGAATATTTTGGTAATTAGTACTACTACCAGTAAAGTTTTAGTTATATTGCTTTACGACTTATGAACAATTGTAGAGTTTCTAGTTATACTAATTCAGGGAAAAAAACATTCCTAAGGAATTGAAATAAATACATTGACACAAAAATTGCATGTAGAGTGAGAAAAGCAGAAACTTACATCTGAACGAGCGTAGAGACCTCATGTGCAACCTGGTCTGGATCAGCAACTGCGTGTTCATTCAATTCAACACCTTCAAGTCTGACCATCCAAAGGAAATGACGCAACCAACACACAATTTGTTACTTATTTACACACCAAAAAAAAATTGAACGTTTACTTATTTGTCACGCGCAAGTAATCAACCATTTCAGAGAGGGTGTGTGATGTCTCATGTGTGTGTGTGCCGTGTGCGCGTTGGTCAAGAAGACAAGAACACAGAATCGGACTACCGAGAAAGTCGTTAAAGGAATATGATGTTTTACGAGATTACCCTCATGTAGAGCCATATTTACAAAGATTTTGTTCGTCGTTTTATGGATTATTTACTGACGTGGAAAATAGTTTAAATTTTAGACGAAAAAAGTAAAGACAGTAGCCAATGAAAAAGCAGAACGAGACACGCTCATGGAAGAAAAAAAAAAGAAGAAGAAGCGAACCGTTAACGGAAACAAACTATACGAATCCGAGGCATTTTAGATCTCAACCGTTGGTAAAATACGTTAATCCAACGGTTTAAATCGCGTCTGGAGTTTGAAATCGACGAGTTACCTGATCGCCATTGTTGAACTGTTAGAGCTCTGCGAATCCTCTGTTTTCAGCTTCCTGGAAAAAATTAAGAAGTTACAGAGAAAGAATAAGTTAGTAGAGTAGAGAATCTATAGCTAAAAATACATTTAAACTCCCGAGAAAATTTTCAATATCGTTACGAAATCTGGAAAAATCAGCTGAAAAGTTTGAAAACAAATCAAAAATCAAGGGAAAGAGACGAATCGTTCTAAGCGAAACTGTTCACAATCTCAAACAGACTATGAGAATGATAAAAAAACGCTGATGAAACATGGAAATACAGCTCAAATGTAGACTCAAAAACGAGAAGAGATAGATTCACGAGAGAGAGAGAGAGACCTCGATCGAGAGATTTCGTTGTTCTGGAGATTCGTCACTGTGAGAGCGTAGACGAAGATGATGAGAAGCACGACGAAACAAGCACCGGTCAATTTCTGAGATGAAGACGCCATTGCGAAAGCTTATTTTTCTCCTTTAGGTTTTGAAATTTGAGAGAGAAGAGAGCAGAAGAAGAAGAATAAGCAGAGACGAGTGAGTGTGCACAAAACCGTTATCGTTTATATACAGTATACACGCGAGAACGACGTAACGTCATCGTTAATTGACGCCGCTACTAAACGGAGCTTCACTCTGGTTAGTGGTTACTACTTACTAACCATTGGTTAAAGTGGTTCGGGTCACAATTTTGGCGTTCCCAATGGATAAATAAACTCATAAATCTGATTTTAATGCCGTTACGGCGTTACTGTTAGTCTGTTACTAAACTTTCTTAAACTGCTGTTAACCGCTCTATCTCTCGGGTGTATAATATCGTCATTATACAAATCTTCTAAAAGTATAAAGTATAAACTTTCTGTACTTATTTACATTTCTCCTTAATAGTCACTAATTTACAATTCTTACTCCTTTTTCAATTGTTGTTTTTCTGCTGTTACCATTTGGGTTATCTAATCGAATTATTTGTTGTTCAGAGAAAATATAATACATATGAGCTAGGTAAATATCAAAGAAAAAAATAGGGGGAAAAAACTCTAATTTTGAGAAACATAAATTTTTATATTAAATTCACGATATTTTCAAACTAAGCAAATCAAATCATTTGTATAAACGGTGCTAAAAGGCTTCACTTGCAATTTTTCTAACAATAAGGTGACATTCTTTCTCCTGGCGTGACTTATATATTTTTAAAGTTCTAGTTCAAGGAAAACTTTTTTGCAGTCATCATCCTTTAACAACAACAACAAAAATGATCCCTCTATTTTTTTTAATATGATTCAGATATCCATGTGTCTAATTTAAAATAAGACAAAAACTAATTTTCTTACAATAAAAAAATGGCGCGTCCAGGCATGCACAAATCTAAAAGTTGAAAAAAAAAAAAAACTTTTGAGATACATTTCAAAAACATGATGTGTAGCAATAACATACTTCATCACGAAATAGTAAAACAGAATTTGTAACATACATAGATTAAGGCATATCTTTACCCGTCTTTGACTAGAGAGCCACTTGAGTTTTTACGTATCATATATATATATAGTATACGTATAGGTGGGTACATATTACTAAACTGAGTTATCGATGTAAAGACTAATGAAGATGTTATGCTTACTAGTTACTACAACGAAGAAGAATTAATGAAATGCATTTCTAAACATTTAGACCAAAAAAAAGAAGAAGAAGAAGAAGAAATGCAAAATAATTTGCATTTTTCGTTACTACTACAGTAGAAACTCTATAAATTAATACTCAATAAATTAATAAATACTATAAATTAATAAATTTTTCCGGTCCCAAGTTGGACCAGTTTAAAATTTAATACAAATCGATAAGATAATAAGATAATAATTCTAAGAAAACTCCTATGTAAATATATAGTCCCTTTAAAGTCATAAATTAATAACTATAGATAAAAACTTATTTAAATATGTATATAACTAAGATAATCTACTAAAATATGAATCTAGTGTTGCTTGTTTTTTCTTTAAATAAAATCTTTTTGGACTTCATCTCTAATTTTTCTCATTGCTTCAAAAACTTTTGGTGTTGTCTTCTTAAATTGCACCAAAAAATTGTGAAGAGTCCTAGACGCGATAATTGCTTCTTTAAGCGTAACTACTTCCAGAGGTATCATATCATCTTCAACTTCATCATCAGCATTGAGAATAGTGGCCACAATTTTTTCTAAACTATGAATTTCTGAACATGTATCATTCTCACCAGGATAATCAAGTAGACTATTGACATCCATTCTATTATGATAGCTGAGATTATTAATCACAGCATCAAGTTCATGCACGTCTAATTCACAAGTGGAGCCATCTTCTAAAGTATCTGATGTGGCATCTGATGAACGAATTTGGCAGTGTTTAAAGCAATTTTCTATTGTCCTTTGCTTAACATCAACATTCCAAACCACTACTGCAAAATTGATAGCATCCAAAACATTAATTTTACCTGGATCAGATTGTCCCAACTCATAGCCTTCTAAAATATGTCGGTAAAGTCTTCTACGATAATGCATCTTAAAAGCTCTTATTATTCTAGCATCACAAGGTTGAATTTTTGATGTCATGTTGGGTGGCAAGAAGAACAGCTCAATATTTTGTAGTCCTTCAATATTTTTTGGATGTGCTGGACAATTATCTATCACAAACAAAACTTTTCTACCTTGCATCTTCTTATCAAACCAGCAGATATACTCTTCACAAATCACATTAGTCATCCAAGCTCTTTTGTTAGAACGGTAGTGAAAATCTAAATCAGTCATGTTTATATTCTTGAAACAGCGTGGCTTTGCATATTTTCCAATAATCCATAAGGGAATTTTTTCATAGCCATCTTCATTGCAGCAAATAACAATTGTTAGCCTTTCTTTGTCTTGCTTTTTTCCTTCAAGCTGTTTTGTAGCGAGAGAATGATCAGCTTGTAACCTATAAAACAAACCAGTTTCATCCATATTAAAAAAAATCTTTCTTGGGGAAGCTATCTATTTTTTCCCTTATAGCCTCCAATTTCTTCACCATGTCTTGTATGTCAACTGAACCACTTTCTCCAAAACGACGAAAGGATTTGATACCATGTCGTAACTTAAACTTTCCAAGCCAACCTGGAGAAAGTTGGTGAGCTTCTTCTTGAGGGTATACAAGTTTCATTGTTTCTCTTGCCTTCTCCAAAATTAACTCGCCAGTCCTATTCACTCGCTTTTGATATTGGAGAAACCACTCAAAAGCTACTTTCTCCATGTCTGGAAATTTTGCTGGTTTGTGTCGTTTGATATCTCTTCCTCCTTCTAGGTCGACTGAAAGATAATCCACTGATCGTTTGAGTGTGTTTGAGATTGTACCTTAACTAATTTTTAAATTAAACTTTTCCTCAAGCCACGACTGCAAATCCTTTTGAGTGCATGCATGATGATCTCTCTTGTATTCACATAATTCTTTGCGAATTTTATCCGTCATAGTTGATTTTGGAACATTTTTTAGATGAGGAGGCATTGTAAACGCAAAGAAGAAGAGCAAAACGTATTTTTTAGTAATGCATATCAATGAACGTGAAAATAAAAGTAGTGGATCTCTTAGCTATACACAAAATACAGTAATATGGAAATATAAAGAAAAAAGAAATGTAAAACAATATGGAAAATATGAAAATATGTAAACTATAAAAAAAATCAAGAAAATATACAATAAAAGAAAAAGTTCTTTTACAAATAAATGGAAATTTTTAAAGACTATGAATTTAAAAAACAAGTAAATAATTATTATAATTTTTAGTTAAAATCTATAAATTAATAACTCTATAAATTAATAAAATATCAAAGTCCCAACATTATTAATTTATAGAGTTTTTACTGTATGTATAATTTGAATAACTTAAATTGATCATACGATTTCTCTTTTATCAGTATATGAAGATATATGTTCATTTATGGTCGTATATCCATAATCGATGGGTATATATACATATAGTTTCAAGTGGTAGTTGTATATTTGTGATTTGATGTGTTTCTAACAAATATTATTATTTTTTTGTATTTGAATTTCTTTTAAACTTATGGTTATCACCATCTTTCGGATTGAGTAGAGCCTATATTCGTTATATGTATAACGAATATATTGTACACCCTAAGAAAAAAGGTCGCTGCCTCGTAAGTCTTAATAAGCCACATTCCTACAAATTATAACTTGGTACATACGCAATGTATAATACTAGCACTAGTCTAGAAGTGATCCCTATTATTTTATTTGTAACGTAGGTCCGGTTTTAAGCATTTTTATTTTTTCATCTATCAATAAATTTTGGTTGAATGCGAGAGGGAAATGTTTTTATTATACTTTCAAAATTGTGGATATCAAGTGATTATCTCCGTAATCATTTTGGAGAGATGGATTGAATTTAGATTCGTCTAGATAGTAAGGAACAATGGTAAGGTATCACGGACCACAAAAAAGTAATTTTTTTCAAAATATACCAAAAAGAGAGTATGTAATACTTCGGTTAGATCAGATAGTACTGATTTTGTTCTATCATGAAATGGAGTCACGAACGAATGGTAGATTTTAAGGCTAAAGAACATGCAAGAACTTTGACCAGTCCAGTAAAAAATGTCAAATGCTTACGAATATTAGATGATTTTCCGAATAGAATAACCCATCACATTTTCTCTTTGGATTCTCTTGCGATTTCGTATTGACCAATCTCTTTTTTTTTTTATGTGGATTTTTGTTATTCACTCTCCCACTTGATAGAAATGAATCAAATGATATAGAGTAGAGTTCCACAGCTCTTTTGTTAGCTAAAAGGGTAAAACGTGATCAAGAAGAACAAGATGGTAATTAGTAAAGATGTAGATGCTAAAGTATCTAAGACAATTAATTGAGAATGAAAACAGTAACTGAAATTCATGATAGTGGCCCAACAGTTTTCTTTTGGGTAAGTTGTATACAGGCCCAACGATTATTTACTCGATAAATAGCTAACAAGTTACAAGTCTTAGGCATATACATTGAAATGAAATTGATATGTTTGACCTTGACCCATTTTTTTTATTTATATATGTTTGATCTTTTTATCTGTTGAAATACAGACTATTAGACTACATTTTCTGATATATTATTAATTAAGTTTTCATTTAATAATTAGTTTTTTAAATTATCTTTTTTTTATAGATATATTACAGAAAATGCACGTAAAAAACATAACATTTACAGTTACAAGCAATAATGGGTCATGGCATAATAATACACATTCTAAACTATGTTTTATCAAAATAGAAAGTTAGAAAGAAGAACAATCAAAGCTATAAAGATCTGTTGCATAATAATCCCTTCATTTGAGAACACTAATCAAAGCTACAAGTCAGTATTGGTTCTGCTTTTCGATTTTCATGTTTTTGTAATAAAAATATAAGGACTAAACTTAAAGATGTTCTTATTTTAACAAAGACCTGAACTCAAAGATGTTGCTGTACTTAGATTTTCAGTATGAATTTAATTTTCTAGCTTTTAGTATATTAAAACTGAAAAGGTAAGGTTTTAGGTTAACATATAGTTAACATTTGTATATAGAAAAGGTAAAACCGAACAACATATATAATAGATAACGTTTAATTAGGTTCGGTTTCTCGTTCGTCTTTTTATAATATAGAAAAGGTAAAACCGAACAACATATATAATAGATAAAGCCTAAACAGTTTATTTTTAATGTTATTTATATTCTTAACCAAAATAAAACACATCAGAGTTTCTTGGACAAAGACATTAACTAGATTATGAAAGATGATCTAAAGAATGTTGTTAGAGACAAAACACTTGCAAGATTTCCTTAATCCAATATTCGTAACAGAGAGGGAGAGAGAGAGAGAGGTAGACAAGATGGGAGTTGGGAGACACTAAGTATTAACTATAAAGTGATTTTCTTCTGACATATATAAGTGAATTTAATTTCATTTTCAGAAGGTTCTGGCCAAGATAAAAAAAATCCAACATATACAGAACACAAATTCATAAGATTAATTGAAATGTTTTATTTTATCTTATAACCATGTATACATACATATATATACAAGTACACATTTATATACGAATAGATATTGGTTGTAATATATATTTGGCTCAACAGGATCTCGTATATGATCGACACACCAACCATGCAGATATACTCTCTGGTTTTACCCTAAAGATGTAATATATATATATATATATGTACTCTCTAAGTTCCATTTTCTATTTTGTTTTCCGTTGAATGCATATATGAAAAAAGTTTGTAAGATAAATTAATTATGTACCCGCTACATTCTAATTAGAGTTAAAAATGATAAGAGGATTATTGTATAGATAACTTGGAAAATAAATTAAATTTCTACATTGAAACTATACACAAAAAATAATATGAAGCAAAAAAAAAAGAACACTAAAACATTTTGTAAACAAAAATTTCGGAAGGAGTATCTGAAGATCGAACTCATGTGAAGTTTGGATAGAAGAGAGAGATCAAGTGAGATAATCACTTCCCACTTCTTCGCCTCCAGATTAAAGCTGGTTTTCTAATTTATTCAATTTAGTTAACCAATCATAGAGTATTTTTGTTTTGTTTGTTCTGGTAAGGGTTTCATATGATTTCCTTAATTACTTTGTAACAAGTATCAAACAAAGATGAAAGATGTGTAACAAGGCAAAGAATATAGAATAATTATGTTAACTAAAAATGCCTTATATATTCATCATTGCATTTGCATTACACAATTAGATAGATACTTATTTGTAACAAAAAAAACAAAAAAAAAAAAAACAGAAGGAGATACATACACATTACATATCTTGTTCTTGAACAATTGAAGTTAATTACCTGTTGTGAAGTGGATTTGGACCCGTGGGAATTATCCGTTTTGAGTCTAAAGCTGTAGAGTTAATGATCGTTTCTGTGGAGTTGTACTTTAGAACTTGTGCTTCTTCTTTGTACGATCCATTCTTCATCAGCAAACTCCTCATGGAAGCTGATTCTGAGTGATGAAGGAAGGCAAGAATCAGAAGAGAAGAAGCCAAAATCAAACCCTTGATCTTCATTTTCTATTTTGGTCAAAAATTGTTTTTGTTTTGTTTGATGGGGGATATATTTGAAGGAAGCAAAATTTCGACTGTTATAAATAGCGACGTTTGATAAAAGGAGCAAAAAGAATGAGAGTATACTTTTATATTCAAGCTATGATACATAAAAAACAATTAAACTGTGAAGCAGGTGTCTAATTAAAATCATATTTTAGTTAAAAATAATAATTAGGTAATTATGTGGAAATCATGCATCTCTATCTCGTTTCGCTATGAAAAAAGGTTATTCATTGTCTTTGATTGGAAGATTCATAAGCCTCACTGCCTCAGCCTCATTTAGTGAGCCTGTGGACACATTTATGGTAACAGTAAAGCCGACCAGTTATAAATTGAATACAATAAGTAGTTATGAATAAAACCCAAACATTCTGCTATTATATGCATGAGATCTAAGAAAAAAACATTTACGATTCACTAGGGTCGACGATTTGGGTTTTATTCAATTACTCCATCTTAATTTTATAAGATAATTTTATCATTGCCAATTTAAAAATTAAGGGCAACTTTACAGTTTCAAAAAAGCATGCATTATGTGAATCACACTTCATTTCTATTTAAAGTATATATTTTTTAAAAAAATATATATACATGCAAAAGCCAAAATTTAATAATCAATTTTTGTTTGAGTCTTTTTTTATTATTTTTTCGAAATATGTTTCACAATTTTGCCAAATAAATAAGTAACATATATTATATGAAGAAGTTAGTTACAAATGTAAAATTTAATTTTAAATCAATGATAAATCATATGTATAATTTGCAGGAGAATTGAAAGAATGAATTAGACTATTTTGCAAGAGAATTAGAAGAACAAATGAAACCCTTAGTGACGATCATGTCATATTAGGTTTAAATATGTTTTGGTGAACCAAAAATTTGTAGACTGATGTGACCCATCTTATTAAGATCAGTAGAGAGCGTGGGTTTTCAAATCTTGGACATATTTTCCAGAATCAGACCAAGTTTAGCCAATCCGTTTGAACATGCTGCTTTTGCATTGTATTTTCCAAGTAATAACATACTAATCCTTAAAACTACATGATCGGCTCAGAGTTCAGACCAGACCAATCCGATCAAAATATATATAGCTAAGTTATGCCCATCCCTAAGAACCTTCATTATAAACGAAAAACTTAATTTACCAGGAAAATGGATATTTCTTAAGAGTATATATCGAAGAAACTTTGAAACAAAGCACATGAAAAATGTAAATCATTTTGGAAGTGTGACTTTAAAAGTAAGTGAAAAGGTGAAAATGGAACCCATGCTTGCTTGCTATCTCCTATTACTACTAGCCACTTTCAAAATCAATCAAACGCATTTATTTTTTTTCCGAAAAAAGGATTGTCCTCATTTTTAACTTCACACCATCCCTCTTTTTTCTTTCAATTTCTCGACTTTCCAATATTTTATTCGTGAAAGTAAATGTTATTTCACATATTTATTAAACAGAACAATCCATTAATGATATAAATATTTCAAGAATTAGTTTGGTATTTAGTTTATTTCGTGGAGGCACATGTAAGCCAGATGGTAAAAGACAAAGAGTTTAATTCTAACGAAGCAAATTCTACGTAGACGAAGGAGCCTATACAACCAAAAGCTGACAAATACAGACTATACAGTTAGGCAGTAAACATTATTGTTTGTTAGATTTTGTGCAGACGATAAATGGTGTGTTGCATTTTGCATGTGTATGTATATATTGATTAGAACATTTCGTAACACGTGGCTAGGTGCAATTGTACATGGTGTTATGTTTTCTTATTAGTACGAAGTGTAATTTAAAAAACAGTAATCCACTCCTTAAGAAACTAGTTTAGTAAAATTTTAATCAAAATAAATGTTCTAATCTTGTCTATACTCCTTTCTCGTGTATGTTTTGAAGAAAACGATCATCCATCTTTTTATTTAGGATTTGTCTCCAACATCTTTGTCCTTTCGGAACAAGGAAATAAATAAATTATGTCAAATTATCAAGCTCATAATCATTAGAGATTATTTAGATAAGATGAAAATAAGATGCATAAGTTTTACACAAACTTAAAACACAAGATTATCAATGATTCTTCACAATCTAAATACAATGGTGGATCCTCTTACATTTTCTCAATGATTCACATCACTTCATTTATGTATATATTGAAATAAAAACGTCTTTGTACAACTAGCTTATAAGCTCATCCTAAGCGATGATGTTCAACTATGAACATGTCCAAAAACCTATGCGACCATGTCGGCTTCCTGTGAATCAGGAACAATGATGTCAAGCCTCATCATGGCCTTGTAGCATTGAGGAACACGAGCTCCACTGTGCATACAAATCTCAACACAAGCAGGTGCTTTACCATAAAACCTCTTGAGATTTCCGGTAAGCGGATTTCCCTTAAGGTCTCTCACATGCCATACATAGTTTGGAGGAAACAGCTCCTCCACAAGAGCATCTTGCCATCCGTGCTTCCCGTCTCTCCATTGATGTTTGAACTCTCCACACAGCTTCACACTGTGTCCCCAAGGTCCTACATGCACTTCAGAGCAATACCCGCATGCTTTCACCGTGAACTCCCTCATCAGTCTTGTCACTCCCCATCTCACTTTCTCGTAAGCATCCATTGTTTCCTGTGCTATCTTAGGTATCTCCTCTGGTTTGGGAGGCGGATACCTTTCACAAGCACCAAGTGTGTCAAGATCAGATAGTGGAGATGACAATGATGTCGAACTGCAAGGTTTATTAGGCTCTTTGACATATCCACCTCGATCAATCACTCTCTTCCCGATCATTCTGACTGGTTGTGTCCTTCTGCGACAAGGATACTCTGGAATCTCAACTCCAGCTTGGACGCATAGCTCAACAACTGCTGGGATTCTTTCATAGTCAAACCGGTTTTCGTGCTTTATGCGTCGCCCGAAAGGGTCATACATGTGGTAAGACTCAACAGGACTCAGAACATCATTGATAGTTCCCTTGACCCACAAATGTGAACCACGTCGCTGTGAGTTTTTTGGACCATTGCAATCCTTAATATTGTGACCAGCATTAGCCACATGAACCGCCCCGCATTCACTGCAAAAATACTATAACAAAGTAAGTGAAAACTTGCAGTAGCATTTATGAAAATCAAATGCGTTTGCCTATATTTCTCAAAGCTCACAACAAGGTCACTGGAAATGAATCAAAACTACTATTTCACTCCCAACAGGAAAAGAGGACACAGCTTGTTAACCTGCAGGCAAAGACGGGAACAACATGGAGAAGTTGTGCTAAACCCTTGATCAGCAACTTCCAGTTATCTATCACTTCATAGGCCACAGGAACAAGATTGGGGACAAGCAATCCGTTTTTGGGAGGGTCCAAGTGTTTCTCTATGCCCATCTGGGCAAGTTTCTTGTCTTTCTTAGCCTCTTCTTGAATTTGCTTAAAAGGAACAGGATAAGGTTTTTTCTTCTTCTTTGGTAAAACAGGGGGAAGATCCACATTCTGTGTAAACACATGCCGTTTCTTGAAAGTTGTGTTCTGTATAGGCTTCTTATTGAAACAAACGAAGGTTCCTAATCTCATCGAACACTCCCTTTTAGGGATCACACGAGGAATCTACATATCAAAAAGAACAAAAAAATCCCAAATTTAAGTAAAGTATGTTTTACAACCTCAGGAATCAAAGTTACAGACGTAAATGGGAAACCTGAAAGCAAGGTGCATAAGAGCCTCTAGCAGAAAAATCAACTGGCTTGGGATCTATGGTCTGAGGATAAACACCTAGGTGGGAGAATAAAGATTAGCCAGAACGAGAATAAGAGACTGTGTACAATAATGGATTATCAGAAAAAGCTAGATACAGAGCTCAAAAAGCTAGTACATGGAGGCGAAACCAGAAGCATGGTGCTTGACGCAAAGAACCCAAATCGGAAACTAAGCAAAAAAATGAAAAATTTCGCCGAGCCCTGCAAAATTTTAAGGAAACATGTGAGGATTTGCAAGGAAGAAGTGGCAACGAGTACATCGTTTAGTCATTTCGTCGAACATGTGGTGTGCAAGTAAGACAAGTAAACAGATAAAGGCAAAAAAAAGTTCGGCTCTGAAACCTTGATCTCCGAGGAGAACGATGAGCTGAGACGAGAGAAATCAACGGAAGAAGATTATTGTGAAGAAGAAGAATATCTCGTTTTTGGCTGTCAATTTCTTGGGATAAATCTCGATGAAGAAGAATTTGAAGTTCTCTGATTTATATCGTTAATGGTTAATCCGACGACGTTTCTAGTTGGAGTTGATGTTTCAGCGGGACGATGATTATCAAACGACGTCGTAAATACAGTTGTCACAAGACCACACTTGTTGTTTTTGACATTTTCACAAGACAATCGTGTATCGTGTCAATATTAATCGGACCAATAATGAAAAAGCACAATGAAGCCCAGGTCCAATTAACTCAACTAAACGCCCACGTAAATCACAAATGTATAGCTTAGCTTATGTTCATTATATTTGCTGATTTGCATGTAAGATGCTTTATGTCAATTACCTTTGAACTTTGGAACATAATACTCCTTTGTTTAGTTATTTTCGCTGGCATGCGACATTTCAAACAAACACTGCGCAACCCTATTCTCACCATAGTAATCCTTCTTAAAAAAACACTAAGCATATGCATGTAACCATTATCAATGTACAGTAGTCATGTAGATCATGGATGAATAACTCATCCGTAGAAAAAAAACTTACTATATTGGTCCACTATTTACTTGTAATGGAAAGTGATATGGGCACAATTCAAGCTGTCGTAATGCAGAGTCAATATCGGTCTGGGACTGTCAAATGTTTTGTTAGAAGTTAGAAAATTTGTTCATAAATCATTGGACCCTTTTTGGGTTGATGTTATCCTTTATACATTATCACCTGATCACATAGATTACGATTGTTCTTCTCTACGTTGTTGAATTGTTATTTTTATTTTTGGCTTTTTAGTAGATGTTTTAAAAGTAACACATAAGTACATAACAAAGTTGTTAAATGACTAAAAGTCTAAAACTATCAATGGCAATATGGGCATTTATCTTTAATTTAATTACTCCATCTCTTTTTTAAAAAAAATTACTCCATCTCATTATCCTACTTGTTCATTAATTTAGCTAAATCCAAAATCAGACGTAACTTATCCAAAATAATAGTTGGTGAAGTTAATGCGATAGATAATATATTTTTATCAAGACATTGTTTTGTGAATTGTTTAAAGAAAAAAGACATTGTTTTGTGAAGAATAATATTTTTCATTATCAACTCTTTTGGTCATGACCTCCAAAGGAGGGAAATTCCAGAAACGAGAGTCTGAACTTTGTTTGAGATGAATCTAATTTTAAATTCAAATGAAAACATGTAGTATGAGTCTCCGTCCATTAACTGCTCGATCAATAAACAACAATATTTCATTAATATTAATAAAACGACTTGGTTGTACATTTCAAAACTTATTCAGTTTTATAGTATTTTCACAATTTATAAATTTATAATACATATGTATCACATATAAACATATACTATAATTGAATTACTGTTGATAATATAATTCCTTTTAGTATTTAGCTTAATAGTATTAAACCTGAGATTGATATGTTGCAGCAATCATTTTCATCACCTTATAGACTTGCAATATAAAAACTTTGTAGCTCCGCCAAGCAAACAATTTGTTTTTCAAAAAAACTTTTTTTTGTTTTTACATTTGTCAGAGATTCCATTGATCTAGTTATGGATAAATATTGAATGTAATTATGCGGATGGCTGAACAACATTTTCTGTGATATATTAACTGTACTACTATTCCATCCCAAACAAAACAATTAACCATGGGCCATGGTTAAATTATGCATCACTAATTAAGTAAGTGAAGGTTATCATTCATCGCTGTACTTACAAATTTTGATTGGCTGCACATTATATCACTGCTCATCTTACATAAATAGTTAAAGTTTGATGAAAGTGGTCCACTTCTACCTTACTGCTAATTTGCCATAATCAAAAACATTGAGGTAGAAGTGGGGATTTTTTTTGGACGTGTGACATTGATTTGTGTGTAAGTTTTAAATACTAACCAATAATTCTAAACTTTCTTAGAGAGTCCTTAGCGTGTTAAAGGCAATAAACCAAATATATACCAAAATTGGAATGTCTCCGTTTGCAAATTTGACGACAGTTTAGAAATCAACATCTGAATCCAATTGGAATTAATTTTCCAAACATCTGAAAGTGATAGTATACCTACATCTCAAACTTTTTTCACGTTAAGTTATAGTTTTTTTCATGATAAGCAGAGAATTATACTATAAATAATAATTAAGTTAAAAGAAGAAAAAAAACAACATCACATCCCTTCTTAATTCTTATTCACAAATGTACCCACCAACAAAGTAACCAAAGACAAATACTAAGAATTACGAGGGGTAACATAATTACGAATATACCCCTAAGTTAGATAATTTGTTCCATTAACTGATTTTCGCTCACGAACGTTCCGTGGAAACCGTACGGTACTCTCTCCGGCAGCTGCACCGTCGCGACTAGCTTCATCTCCGACGCGTCAACCACCACAAACTCCGACTCGTCTCTCTCTTCGTCCCTCACAAACCCAATCACATAACCTTCGTCTTCTCCTTCTTTCTCCGGTACGAAATACGGTTCACCGCCGAACCGGCCCGGTCCGTATTTGAACTCTGAAACGGCGCCGTTTTCTAAATCCACCTTCGCGATGCCGCTGCATCTGGGCCAAGGATCAGCAATAGCTAGGTAAACGAACCGGGTTTTCCGGCCCAGAAAATTCCGGTTTACTTGACCCGCTTCTAAATTAATACCGGACACGATAACCTTCCGGTTCGATTCTTTTGTTCGCAGGTTTAACCGTATCTTGGTTAATTCGATCCGAGTCGGTTCTCCTGATTCGCTGAAAATCGTGTCGGGCGGGTTCATGCACGACCCGATTACGACAATAACCGGGTCTCCATCTTCGGTCTTTTCTTCCCAAGCGTTCCATAGATGGAAACAAAAGCAATCGGGTACGTCGATCCAACTTATATCCGACCCGGTCGGATCTTGCTTGGATAAAACTCCGAATTTCGACATTTTCTCTCTATCGTAGATAACCGGTGACCCGCCCCGAATCATTTCTGATAATTCGAATACCAATTGCTGATTCGGGATCACGACGAAATTTTCGGTTATCGCAAAATCGTGGATCATCGTGGGTTGCTCAAGAGTGATGTCCACGTCACGTGTCTTTTTCCCGCACGTGTCGAATTTAAGATACCTGAGATGAGGTTTCCTCAAAACGTTGTAGCTCAGCGTGTGAAGATCTCCTGTGGTAGGGTCCACTTTAGGATGTGCGATCACTGGACAATCGATCTGCTCGTCGAATCTAAACCGTCCGATTGTCTCGAGATCACCGTGGTCGTTGATCTTCACGTGGTAAGGGAGATCATCCTCTGACATGGCTAATAACCTTCCGTTAAAGTAAACGACGCCGGCGTTAGCTACACCCATGCCACGTGTCGTGTCTACGAGGCCGATCTCAGCTCGAGCCGCGAATAAAGCTAGTCGAGCCAAGCCTGAATGGCCGTGAAGCTCGCCGATTGGTTTAGGGAAAACCGGTCGTCCCAGCTCTGCTTCTTGAACAAGCCGGTTTGTTTTAGTGTACCGGCAGCTGTAACTAACAGAATTATCTGAACCGATGCTAACGGCGTGGATCATTCCGTCACCGTCAAACAGATGGTGTCCGGCTAACGGCGGAAACAGAGGATTAGCACCGTTACGGATGTATACTCCACGTAGACAAGGAGGTATCTGACCAACGACTTCTAAACCATTTTGAACCGGACATTCATTAACCGGAGCGAAATTACCGGATAATTGAACCGTTGGATCGGTCGGTTTAGGAAGTGGTTTATTTTGTTCCATTGGTACAACGAGGGAGGATTCAATTTTGTCCAGCATCGAAGCCGCTAGCTTCTGGAGAGGGTTTAATTTGGGGTGCGTTGGTCGGAGTTTCACCGGAGACGGTGGTGACGTCGCCGGAGAAGTGAGAAAAGGAGGGAAATCGGGAAGTTTTGTTGTTCTTTTGAAAGGGTTATTAATGAGAAGTCGACAATTAGTATTTTTTGCATGTTTGGTTTGTGGGAGTAAATGGAAACGAGAAGAAGTTTCCGGCGGAAGATGATCGGAGCGGAGTCGGAGAGAGTGTTGCATGGCGGTGAGGAGAGAAGAAAGTGAAGAAAGGATCTTTTGCGTCATGAACATTAAGTTTTTATCACGTTTTTATAAGTGAAATTTTTTTTTTTTTTTTTTTTTTTTTTTCGTCGACATGAGATCACGTTTTTAGCCTTCTTGAGAGGGTTTAAGTTGAAGTATACTACTAGATTCAATGTAGTAGAGTCTTTACATGTGGCAAAATAGTATGTTTTCGTTTTTTTATATATAATATATATGATAGAAAAAAGGTTCAATGTACTTAGATTGTGGTTTGAATGTTTTTTTAATTATATAAAAAATATTGAATCTTATTAAATTGTTTGCTATACTGTTCACTAAATATTATATGCTTCACTATCTTTAGATATGTATTTTTCGATATTTATAGAATTACACATTTGGCGTTTTAAGTGTATAATTTATAAATATACAAAAGGAAATATAAATATATCTGTGGTAATTTATTGTGATTAATCAATGGTAGATATATAAACTTTTGTGAAATATTAATAGAAGATTTTTTAATAGTTTTAATTTATGAAAAGATATTAAATAATAAATGAAAAACACTGAAAGTAAATGTTTTGGAAATGGAAAGTAAAGAATAACTGGTATATATGACTTTGCAGGTGTGGGTGTGTGTCAGTGTGTGTTTTAACACTTAACATAAAATTCAAGTGGTGTGTGATAAAACTTGAACGTTTATTACTAATAAGGATAATATATCCAAATGCATTTCTCAAAAGTTAGAATCAATTATTGTAATGTGCCATGGAAGTTTGCAGTTACTGTTGGAATACATTGGGGATATGGTAGTGGAGGCTTGATGAGTGAAATGGCGAATGAAGAATGTGCTTTTGAAGAGATGACCATTTTTTTTTTTTCTCAACCTTTTTCTTAGGACCATTTGTTTAAGCATGGGTTAGGGTCTTGGTTTCTTATACCGAATTGGTTAATCCTTTCTACTCAAGAAGCTGTTCTTTTTCTTTGGTGGGAAGTGAAAGCCCGCAGTTTCAAGCGTAGTGGAACATAGTTCTTCTATTTTATTTCTGGGCGGGTAGCCTTTTAGACCTAATTATATATAACAGTAAAAAAATACAAAATACAGTATCTTTGTCTTCTTTTTTACTACATCGAATAATGAAAAAAAAAAATGGAACACTGCTAAAAGAATTTGGATCAAAACACTATCCCAAAGGTAAAGAGTAAATACTAGCATAACTAATATATTTTTATTATCGTGAGCTGCCTGTTTGTGATTAATTAGTTGGACACTAGCTTGGACTTCATTCCTAGTTAGAACTTAATAGTGTTCAAGTGTCAAACCTATTTATCAATAAAACTCATATAATTAACTCATTCATTACTAGAATTGTTAAAAATACAAGTTGTTCTAATTAACTATAGTAAACAATAGACGTGCCATCTCATCAAACCAGGTCTCGAACCTGTGTACTAGTGAAAAGTTAAAAAGGGTTTTAGTCACCATCCCATGATATGACAGTAAAGGAAAAATAATAGACGTGCAATTGAACATACCTTCGCTTTGTGGTATCGTTTATATGTACAGAAAATTATGCTGTCAAAACGGCGCTCCAAGCAGTCGTATCTTCAAATCTCAGCTCATCGAGCGTATACTCTCTACCTTTCAAAGCACTGAATCTATTCTAATAGCGTCACCAATGAATTGAAAAGTCTTTTTTCATGACATTGGGATCTTGAGTTTATCTTTTCAATCTATAAGTTTTACGCCTATTCTCCGTTTAAGCAATGCCTCAGGCCCTCAGCTAAATTGACTATATATATGTTAATAATCATTCATCCTTTTATAGAGGGTAACAAAGTAATGGAAATCTCAGATTGAGAAAAAAAAAGACGAACAAAATTAGCATGTCATTCTACTGAAATAAATTATAAAGAGCATGCCAAATTTCACTGAAAGTACGTACGTGATATAGAAATAAAAAACTCATGTAAACCCAAATCCAAGGCAAGTGAGTGATCAATACCAACACCAACTCTACTACTAGACCGCCTCATCGTAAGATATGTCTTACTCTAAAAACTAGATGGTCTTATCGTGAGATATGTTTTACTCTAAAAATTTGATGAAAGCGACAATAGATTTTTTTTTTTTTTTTTGGGATCATTTTTTTTACGTAAATAATGAATAGTTCATCAAACTTCGTATGACGCAAAACATGCTGATTTCATGATTTGCATCAAGTTTCCATAAAGACGACCTAATAGTTGGTCAAACCAAAAACTGAGAAAAAAAAAAAAAGAGAAGAAGATGATGACAAAATCATTAATTTAAATTTGATCCACTTCTTTTCGGATTTTATAACGTTGTATATCACGCGACTGGGGTATGGCAATTACGTGGTACAACCGCTTAAGAGCATCAGCAATGGTAATACCCCATTATGGGTACTTAGCAATAAAAAATTGTTAAACTTAAACTAAGTATCTCTATTAAAAAGAATATGTTTTTGATGCCTCCAATGCAAGAATTTTTAATGGAATACTTAACTTTTAAAAAAAGAATTATAATTTAAGAAATTTGTGACAAATTTATTTATTTAAATAAAACATAAAATATTACAAACATATAGTTGAAAAATAAAATTAAAACATAGATTTTGATACATTTTAAACATATAAACGATCAGTTATCATCTTCCTCATCTCTAAATTTCTGTAGCAAATCCATAAAAAAGCACCATCAATTAACTTCAAACCAACTATTAAAACTATGGACAAGACAGATTTCTACCGATAATTATGTCAAGACAATTAAACTTTAAACCAAACACAATCCCTAAATTATTGTAATCTCCATAAATGAATCTCCATTAATCTTCTAACTACCAAACCTAAACACCTACGAGAGAAAACCTAATATTCTAACTACACTGATGCATTTTACACTTTGGAACCGATGTGAAAACATACCTCATAGTTGACACCCTAGATGGAAAGCTTCAACCCTTTGAAGTTACTCAAATCCGAGACTTTGGGCCCCCTTGACACCTCACACCAAGCTCAGAATTTGCAAACAACAACAAACTCAATTAGCAACAATTTACATGATTGACCACCACAACACACGAAGTGATATCAACCAAACAAATGAACATTCAAGCAAACTAATGAACACATAAAGACACATCATTACCAATTCACATTCAAGCAAACTAATGAACACATAAACACAATTCATTACCAATTCACATTCAAGCAAACTAATGAACACATTAATACACTTCATTACTATCTTCTGAATCTATCAACCGATATGAATAGAAAACAACTTAGAAGAAACAAAAGAGATAAAAAATTCGAAACATACATATACAAATTTGAAACCATACATAAACAAATCCGATTTAACACTTGATCTCTAACCGATACAAATCAGAACACAAATACCCGATACACAAATATACAAACCCGCTAACAACACTTGATCTCTAAAGAAAAAAACACATCCAAGGCTAATCGAATAAAAAAACACTAACAAGTGGGATTCACAACGCATGCAGAGTGATTTTGATGAGAAGAACCGATTCAATAAAAAATAATAATATGAAACCGATGAGAATAAACCTAACCTGCTCGGATAATAGCTCAGTTGCCACAAGAGTTTGGTTGACCGGAAAGAGAGCTGACATCGGAAGCAAAAACGATGGATTGAAGCGGAGGAGAGGATTATCGGTGGTGTTTTTGTGGGAGAAGAAGTTTATCTCGTTTTCGATATTCTTCTTCTCTTTGGTGTTTTTTCTCTTTTTCTCTGTCCAATAAATATGGGACACGTACACACCAAATATCGCTTCTTCTGAGCCTTAAATAAGTATAGATACTAGGCTTATAATTTCTTTTTGATTTATTTTTGGGCCTAAGTAACCCAATAAAGTGTGCTAAGCATCAGCGTTGATGATGCTCTAACCAAGGACCAACACTTGGCGTTACGAGAGACTTCTAAAAAATTTGTATAAGATCACACATACGTAAACCCCACCGATAGGGAAACAGACTCTCCAAAAATATCGTAAAAACAGACATAAACCCTACCGACAGGAAAACAATCTCTCGGCGTCGACCTATTTTTTTAATATATATATATATATATATGAACATTATTTAAAACTGAGTTCTTGATAGCATTATAAGACATACTTTTTATTTCGATATTATAAGAAACCCTACCGACAGGGAAACAATCTCACGGCGTCGAACTATTTTTTTCAGTGAAACATAAAAAATGCTTATGTCGTCATCTCAAAAGGCTATTTTGAACTAGTCTGAGCTTATCTACAACATCTAACTTTAATCGTCGGTAGTCACGACTCACGAGTGCTTTGTTCATATACCAATGGCTTTTAGTTCCATGCATCCGTCTCAATTATAGGAGAGATAAGTAACTATATGATTTTAGTAGGGTTTTGCTAGATTGATATATCATATATATGTTCTTTATCTTTGTAATATGCATGTAAAGATCTATAGTAATATATTCATATATAGTTAATGCTAATTGCAGACGTTATTTTATATGCCCCAGTCAACCCAAGCTATTAGGTGGGGTAATAAACACAAGGTTGATCGAGATGATGAGTGGAATAGGCGGTGATGAACTTAAAAGGCTAAGTCGCTGACTTGGGAGGTTTGAAGGTAGATAAGCAGCACACAGATATGAGCTATCTTACTCGTAGGTTTGGTCCTAGCTTAAGGCAAGTAAAACATATATATGCTTTTGGGCACCTATTATTACTGAAATTTTTAGGTGGTAGCTTAATTATTGGCATGTTTCTCCTGCCGTGTTTTTTTTGTATGTTTGTTGTTGTTTTTATATATTTTTGTTTTAAATTTACACTGTTTAAAAGAATTATCTTCTTCAAACTTAAAGGTGTTTGAAATAAATGAAGGTCAAGAGTTTCTGCTATAAGATTCCTTTTCTTATATATATAGTGGATAGTTTATTTATTACTGCGAGAAACAGAAAAAAAAAAACATCGTTGGATTACAAAACCGAACAGCAAAAAGAGAATATCACATTACTATAAGATTTTTGCCTTGGAAAAGAAAATAAAATTAGAACTAAATGCAACTTTGTTGGAACTTGATCTCTCTTGTTCATGGTTGGCTATCCGACTTGATCAAGACTAATGGTTCTTGGGGTGGTTTTTAGTTTTGTCCAAAAGGGAAATGTGGTCATTTTTGAGCTAAGCCATGCATGATTCTCATGAATGGAAGGATTTGTGAAATTTGAATGTTGGTGAAGAGAAGTAGGCTTCACCATTGATTTGATTGGATATTCTTAGTGTGCTTGATTAATCTTGACTGATCTGTATAAGGAATCTGACTGTTGGGTGTGAATACGGCAAAAATGTAAAAGAAAGTCTTTAATCTTCAATGTTTACGCACCACATACTTATACTTTTACGTATGTTAGACCATCTCCAACGCAGGTATCTAGTGGGGTTCTTTGATTTAAAAAGTATTTAAAATAAATTATAATGTAATTAAAACTTGCGAATCGTCTCTTATTTTAGATGTTTTAGAGACGGTCTCTCAAGGACAGGTGTCTTGTTGTTATTGGTTTCCTTTTTTTCCCTGTCGTCTTCGTCTTCTCCGATCAAATTCTCTATTACTCCGTCTTCTCTTCCTTCGCTTTGTACCCTCTCTCTTCATCGTTGCAACTCTATTCCTTCTCACAGTAACTCTCTATCTATGTTTTGTTACGGTCTCATCATAACATAGTTGTCGCCTGTCAGAATCTGGAACTTTTGGTCGGGAAAGTTACCGAGATGGTGTTGATGCAACTCCGCTTATGAAGGCAGGTGCAGGAAACAGCGATCGTGCTGACCTAAGCTTGATAGTCAGACATGCGTAAGAGGAAAAAGATTGCAGAGGAAACAGAGCAACACAATCTCTCTTAGAGCAACACAATCTCTTTTAAAATTGTGCAGAAGAGTATGCAATTTCTGAGCTGTGTTTATCAAATTCACGTTTTTGGTGATTTGTGTTTTGACGGAAGCACTTCACAAGGTTGACACAGGTTTAAGCCAGCAAAGGTTGATTAATGAGAAGATATTGCAGGAGCTTGGCTTGTGGAAGTGTAGTATCAGAACTGAAGCATGTGACATTTTTTTGTCGTTGATTCAGTGTTACAAAGGGTACTTGGAGATGGTACGAACGTATATGCTCTACTCCGAAGCGTATGAGTGGTAAAGAATATGCTTGTTGGATCGAGATTTTTTTTAAACCAGCATTATGACAACGATGTGGAGTAACAACAATGGTTAAAGACTGAGAAACTTATCAAATTTTGGTGGTTAAGTACATTCATACATGGAGGAGCAAAGTACTTTTCTTATGGTGAAAGATAAATCAGGAAAATTACTTTATGGTTTCAGTGTTAGAGCTGTTTTTTTTATCAGTCTACAATGCAACAGAGGATACGACATGGAGATTTGCAGATATATGTTGTTGTTTCTAGCTAGCTCAGATTCAACGGCAAGGAGTGCAACACATTTGGCACCAATGGCTACGCAAGACCTTCAAACCTGCATCATTCTAAATTAGTCTACAATAGTTTATTTTTAAGAACCTCTCTAATGAAGTTCACCATTGGAGAGCCAAAAATAATAGAGTTATAAACTTTGAACTAATCAAAAATTTATTATTAAAAAATTAATAAGAACCTTTCATGAGGATTTATCATTGGAGATGCTTAGAGCACTTCCATTGAAAGTTTATGAGAGGTTGTTGGCACAATTACATATGAACCGAGCTTTTAAAAAATATTAAAACAGGCCAAACTTAACATACGGTCGTTTAGCTAACATACCAAGAAAATGGGTTTATGGACGACATGGCAGTATTGTATTGGCGGCGTGCAATTTTTTCTTTTGGCGAGAAGCCCACTTGTTATAACATTAAGTAACACTTTTAAGAAATATTAATAAAAAATTGTTAACATTTCCAAACACAACACAGTATGACCACTGTAGGTGCTCTTAAAGCTGCCATGTCATTGACTCTCAAGCCACATGCTTTTACATTCTTTTAGGCGATCGCTGATCATACCACAGACGCTTACGTCTTTTAGGCTTTCATGCAATTTGCTCTTACGCCAATTTTTGTTTGCGTTTTTTTGGTTTTTTTTTTTTGCAGAATCTGCTTCACTAAGACTACCCGCAAAAAAAAACCCAATTAAAATGATTGCCTGCTAAAAAGGAAGATTTTTGCAAATCTCGTGTTTTGAATGTCCGTGACAGCCTATGTATTTAGGGCTGGGCACGGAACAAATACTTGCTAATTTTTCGATACTTGCTACTTGGCTTGATCCGTTCAACTAATTTATTTTACTTTTTATACTTGACTTGTTTAAAACAAGTACTTGCTATATCAAATACTTGCGAAAAATTGAATTACTTGCAAGTTACTTGACCCGACTTGTTACTTGCCAAAATCTATTATTTAAATCTCAAGTACTTAATTACTTGAACCTAAAATACTTGAATATTTAATTATTTGAACCTATAATATTTGAAATTAAAAAAATTCATACAAAAAGTCAATAAATATGCAAACGAAAAAGAAATTTAAAATATAGATATGTGATCAAAACCAAGTAACAAGTATTTTTAAACAAGTAGCGAGTATTTTTTTAATAAGTAACGAGTAATAAGTAACAAAATAAGTAACGGAACAAATATTGAAAATATTAATGATACTTGATATTTGATTTGTACTTGCAAGTAATAGATTTCTATGATTTGTTACCCGACTTGATAACAACAACTACTTGTTTTTTCAAAGCGGATACAAGACAAGTAACAAGTACGGGACAAATATTAAGTAGACTATGCACAGTGACTGACGTGCAGAAGAACTTGGACAAAAGAATAACATGGGCAATGAAGTAAGGAACTATATCTGGAAAAATCTCTTAGCATCACATATATTATAGTTTAGACAAACTGTTTAGCACCATTTTTCTTTAACTTATTTCTAGCCCTTTAGGCTAGGTTTACAAAATTTAGGCCCGATGGTATAAACACATGAATAACTTGATAGATAAGACCACATGTTACTCAGGTTTCGTAGTATTGTAATTGTATACTGACGTAAACATTAAAAAATTTTCAGGAAACATTTCACCATATATTATTCTGGCTTCCACAGATTTTTCTCTTACTAGAAGATGATTTGCTTTCCGACGGTTGGATAGATAGGAATATTTTCCCACAAAAATGTAACTTTTATTTTTAACTGTCGAAATTGTAGTGACAAATAGTTGAACCTCAGTTTTTATCATGGTAATAAAGCCACTCTGCCACTTTACAATATTTTTTGCATATTTAAATTATTTAAATATAACTTTTTTTTTCCTCAATTCGTTCTTCTCTTTAACTGTTTCGAATTATTCTTGTTAATTTTTCAAAATTTCACAACATTGTACTAGTAACATGTAACACAACGTATGACAAATGATTAGAGTTACTATATCATTGTTCCACCTTCTCAAAAAGAGGATTACAATATCATTAGGCAAAAAACATAAGTATTAAATTGGGAGACTCGCATCATCGATACTAAAGAAAGAAAAAATAAAATATAATTGACTAATGTGTAACATGATAATCGTTATGCAGCAGAATTGGGAGGACAATATAGTTCCTCACATGCCTTGACACATCTGGAACAATAGCAACCCGCGATAATATACCCACGACGATGACGAGCGCTACTGTGGCCCCCGCTATGACATAGGCATTCATCATATTCTTCCTCACCACACAAAAAATTCTTCTTTAACTAACTTATTTATATATAACTTATAACACATTTAAAAAAAAAATATTAAGTTAATTAATATGTATTATATTATCTTGATATATTTAGAAACATATTCATAATATACAACAAATAATTATATACATTACACACTATTGTCTAATTTTCCACATTCTACTTTCTAGTGTGTTCATTCATTTTTTGGGGTCAGACCTCATTTCCTATTTTTTTCTTAAATTACATCTCATTGTTATGTTTGCCACTCTGTTTCCATATTTTTGTTGTACATTTTTTTTAATAAAAAAAATCATTTGATCATTCCAATCTTTTTATCCTATCTCTTTTTGTTGAGCAGTGATCCTTTGATTGGGTCTGAAAAGAAAAGAGAAACCAAGAATCAAACTCAATGAGAAACTAGAAGAGGTCGAGAAGGAGAAGAGTGTCGTGAAGAAGAAAGAGAAGAAGAGGTCAAGAGGCAAAAGTCAACCAATGGAGGAGATGGGCTTACTGTCTACAACGGGCCTATGAAGAAATAATGGACTGCGTTTTACTAGGCCCAGGAGAATAATGTCTTGTTAAGAAACCTGCAAAAGAAGCAAGTAGAAGCTATAAGAGTTGTTATAGTTTAAGCAAGTAAGCAACAATAGTAAGAGTAGTTAAATGTAATGATCAATGTAGTGTGGCTTGTGTAAGAGAGTCTAAGTCCTAGAGTTAAGGTGTTAGAACAGTAAGGAAAAAAAAGTAATAGTTGGTGACTACTCTATATGCATGAGAGAAGAAGAATGTAAGGTTGTAAGAAAAATGGATGAAGAGAAATGAATGAAAAAGAGAGTTAAGAAAAACAACTTCAAAGAGAGATCAAAGAAGAGAGTATTACAACACTTTTATGTTTTTTATTTACTTTTACCATATATTTTTCTTAATTAACTTGATATTTTTATTATTTTCTATTTATATATGGATATAAATACTTGAAAATTGAAATAAATTTCTCAGTGTCAATGTGTCTTTGAAGTCTGGATTTGCTGCTTGCTTCCCTCCCACTAAGCAGAGTTAAGCACATGTCATATTCACGACTGATTCCTATTTCCTTTCTCTCAACCTCATTTCTTAAATATCTCTCCCTTTTTCATTTTTTCTCCTCAAATTTTCTTTCCTAATTCTACTTGATCCAATCGCTCTTTTCTTTATTCATTTTTCCAAAGACACAATCTCGAGATTGATTCTTTTTTGTTTCTCCACTCTTTAAATTCCTCTGTGTTTTTTTTTTCACGCGCCCACATGCGTCTTCCTCGTGTTCTCTGATCTGGATTAGATCACAAGAATCTCTCTCTCTCTAGGGAAACAGTACAGAAGAGAAGAAGATTATAGAAGACGTTAATGCGATAATACAGGAAAAGGAGTATAAAGAGAAAATGCTGCAAGCTATGGAGTAAAGACGTCATTTTCTTCTTCCTTGCGGAGAAAGTTAGAATCTAAGAAAAAAAAGGTTAGAACTTTCTTGAATCTTTCGATTTCTTGATTTGGACCCACAATTTTCTTTGTCTATAAAGTCGGATTCTCTTTTCATTCCGTCGATTTTGATTTCAAAGTCCAATTAGGGTTTATCTGTTTCTCCAGGAGGGGATTTTGATCTTTGACTGAATCGTTCTTAGTTTGACTTCTACTGATGTGAATCCGAAGCTTCAAAGTTGAGATTTTGATCCAATTTCTGCTTCGTCGGGCTCGAAAGTCGAGAAATTTCGATCTGGGTATTCCGAATCTCTGATCAAAAATGGAGAACGTAGATGTTTCCAAGTACTTACACAGCTCTGTGCACAAAGCTGTTGCTTCAAGAGATTACGCTAGCCTCAGGTCAATACTCTCTTCTCTCCCAAAGCCACGAGATCCTTCAGAGATCCAATCAGAAGCAGATTCTCTAGCCGAGGAAGCGAAATCCGACGCCATCTCCGCCGTAATCGACAGGAGAGACGTTCCAAGCCGCGACACGCCGCTCCATTTAGCCGTGAAGCTCTGCGATGCGAACGCAGCTGAGATGCTGATGGTGGCTGGAGCTGATTGGACTCTGCAGAACGAGGATGGATGGAACGCATTGCAGGAAGCTGTTTGCAGCAGGCAAGAGACGATAGCGATGATAATCGTGAGGCATTATCAGCCTCTTGCTTGGGCTAAGTGGTGTAGGAGGCTGCCTCGTTTGATAGCAACTATGAGCAAGATGAAGGATTTCTACTTGGAGATGAGTTTTCACTTTGAGAGCTCTGTTGTGCCTTTTGTCTCCAAGGTTGCGCCGTCTGATACTTACAAGGTTTGGAAAGTTGGGTCGAATCTGAGAGCTGATATGACCATGGCTGGTTTTGATGGGTTCAAGATTCAGCGGTCTGATCAGAGTATACTGTTTCTTGGTGATGGGTCTGAGGATGGTGAGATTGCTCGTGGGTCGCTTTACATGGTGAATCATAAGGATAAAGAAGTGATGAATGCGTTGGATGGTGCTTGTGGAGTAGCTTCGGAGGAAGAGGTCAGGAAAGAAGTTGCTGGGATGTGTAAAAGCAGTATCTTTAGACCCGGGATCGATGTGACGCAAGCGGTTCTGAATCCGCAGACGAATTGGAGGAGGCAGGAGAAGAGTGAGATGGTTGGTCCTTGGAAAGCAAAGGTCTATGAGATGAACAATGTTGTTGTTAGCATTAAGTCTAGGAAAGTTCCTGGCTCATCGTCTTCTGCTGATAAAGAGAACGATGTTGCAGATGATGATCTCTGCGATGTTCTAACGGATGAAGAGCAAAAGCAACTAGAGGCTGCTCTTAAGCTGGATTTACCAGATTTCCCAAACGTCAATGGTGAGAATGGCTTGACTGATGTGGATTTTGGTCAGTCGAACAAGAAACCGGAGAAGAAAGGGTGGTTAGGAGGTTGGAGAAGAAAAGAGACGACTAAACAGGAGAAGCAGATTCAGTATGCGCCTCCGAGAAGCTCTCTTTGTGTGAATGAGAAAGTTAGCAATCTTCTGGGAGATTCTAATCAGATAAAGCCAGGAAGACACTCAGTAGATAATGAGCTTAATAGGAAGCCGAGAGCATCAGTCTCGACTAAGACTCACCACGAGAGCGAATACAAGAAAGGGTTACGTCCTGTTCTCTGGCTATCTCCAAACTTCCCATTACAAACAGAAGAGCTGCTTCCTTTGCTTGACATACTCGCAAACAAAGTCAAGGCAATTCGTCGTCTTAGAGAGCTTCTTACCACAAAACTTCCCACAGGAACATTTCCAGTCAAGGTATGTCAATGTTTAAGAGGGTAATTAACTGGTGTGCTTCAAGATCACTTTTGACTGAAATTGTTTTGTGAAATTGTATAGGTTGCTATTCCAGTGGTACCGACGATAAAGGTGCTTGTTACATTCACAAAGTTTGAAGAGCTTGAGCCAGCTGAGTTTAAGACGCCTCCTTCGAGCCCGAGTGCTTCTTCTGGCTATTATGAGAGTCCAGCTGCTGCTACTGACTTCACCAACTCGTGGTTTCGTCGGTCTAGATCAAACAAAGATGGTTCGAGCAGTAAATCGAAAACTTCACAAGAAGACCCTTTTGCTATCCCTGCAGGCTATACTTGGGTCAGTGTTGAATCTAAGAAAAGGAAACAAGAGAAACAGAAACACAAACGAGGTAAAAAGGCAGAGCAAGTTAGCTAAATCCAACGCCTAAGTCTTGAAACATTTTTAATACTAGAAAAAGACATTGAAGAAGAAAGGTTTATGCTTTTTGGATGAAGCGACTCTGATGGGGAAGTTGTTTGATTCAACTTTGACTCTTTTTCTCATCATTCATTTGTAACATAAACTCATAAATTTGCGTTGATTCAGGTTTCCTTTTGATTTTTTTGGATAAAGCGTGGTGTAAAAACATTCATTTTGCCTCTCTTGCATCGGTTCTGTTTTTCTTCCTCTGCTATGTAGTGGGTCATCTGTGACTTGAATAAAAACTCCTTTAGACCGGTCTAACAGTGAATTCGATTTAAAACATTATAACCACAATTAATACCCGTGACCCAAACCAGACCCGAATTTACTGACTGAGACCCCTGAGTTAAACTTGTCGGCAAAACTATATCTCCCACTTCCTCTCTAGCCAAAAGACGCTGCTTCCTCTGTTGCTGATAATAGCCGGGAATTACAAACGGTTAAGACTTAAGAGGGTTTCACAGGTCGACCAGATTTCTAGTTTTTGTTTGTCAACTTGCTGAGCTTTAACTTCATTTCGGCCTAATGTCGTGATTTTGATTCGCACAGGTTTGGGCCTTCATTCATTCTGGCCCAAACTCATCACAACTGTTTTGTACTTTGTTGTGTTTTATCAGCAGTGTGACAATCACAAGAAGAAAAGAATAAAACGATAGAGTTTTTAGTGTTTTTTTTTTTTTGGTAAAATGTTTTTTAGTGGTAAAGAGTTTTTAGTGTTTTTGATTAATTGTTTATTAGTTTGATTACAAAGAAGAACACGAGCTAAATACCGTAACAACAAGCCAATAACATCAGCAAATCATTACACAATTAATTATATGATAACAAAATTTAAAAACGACATATTCAATTTTATCATACTTCGCGTTTCAAAATGTCCTAATTTTGTTTAGATAAAGTGATTTCACGACTTATGTTTTCACAGAGCTATTGTTTATAGTATATTTTTCCAGTTTTAGGACTTCCATACCTGCAATAACCCGAAGATGTCTAGTGGCAAATTTACATTCACTTAGTGTAATTTCTTTAATAGTAATTTGTGGAGATCTGGATGTTGTTTTCACCCCATAATATCTAGAACAACTTAAAATCTAAAGGATTGAACTTCAATTCTCTAAAGAAAGATTTTGTCATTGCAAATGTCACATGAACTTGGAAAGTTTGTGAAAGACAGTAGAAATGCCCATAATTTGATGCTAATAATGTCATCACTGCGGGACAAATGGATTAAGAATTGTGGTACGATTTTAGTACGATGTAGTTGATAGAAATTTATTTTGCATCATCCTGAATATATATAGTTTATGTTTCTTTCCGCAAGCACTACACAACTGCTTAGAAATCTTTTTATCATTGTCTATTTTTTCCTATAAATAAAATCTTGAGCTTCATTATCAGCATAAAAAAATGTAGCAAAGTTATATATGGAAAAAAATTTCCAACCACCGTGAACCACACCTACCGACTACCGTGAACCACCGCGAATCACCACGTCAGGAAAAATCTATATAAACTATCTTAGTCTAAAATAAAATGTCTAATTTAGTTTTTCATCCTAAGTCTGAACCTAATTTTTATTTCTTCTGATTCTGTATCTTCATCGATGTTGCTTTTCTAACTATCGAAATTTTGGCTTAACAAAAACTAAAAATGCAAAAACCAATAAAAAAAAAATATTTGTTACATATATTATTAATTTGTGTGATGTTTTAGGGATTTTTATAGTAAAGCCCAAGAAAACTGAAAATATGAAAAAATATTTGAAAAATCCAAGGATTTTACGTAAGAGTTTGTAAGAATTGCAATATATACTTCAGCTTAAATGCTTAATTATTGTTTTTTGTTTGCTTTGTGAACAGTTTGTGTAAGCACGAATTGTCAAAGATTATGAGTTGAAATTCAAAAATAAACATTAACTATAAACTTGTAGTGATGGTCGAATGAAAATACTAGTGTTATCAATCAAGTGGAATTGTGGAAAGATAAGTGTGTGACTATCAAAAGTTGGATATCATATACGAAAAGCATGTATTGAAATACGGTTTTCTAGTGAATTAGCCTGTAAGCACAGCTGGGTTGATGCAATAAGGATTAAAAACCATTGGCGACAAAGTTTGTGATGGCAGCTTTGGTGAAGATACATTTTTTTATTATTTTTTCATGACCTCAGTAATTAATATTGTCTACCAATATGTTTGCTTCTATGCAGGTTTTTTTTTTTAAACTGTAAGTATGAAATCATTACAAATAGAGATCGTGGGGCACATAAGTAAAAGTCCTTTAGACGGTTAGACCAGTCTAATAATGAACCGGGTTTTGATTTACATCGTAATTAACCACAATTACTACACTAAACCCTAAACCGACCCGAATTCGCTGACCGAAAATCCCTAAATTAAACTTGCCGGCGAAACTCTCTCCGACTTCCTCTCTAAGCAACAAAAGACGCTGCTTTTCTACATGATTTCATGTTGCTGATAAGACCCGGGAATTATAGGCGAACAAAGTTGAAGTGGGTTTCACGGGTCGACCCGATTTCTCGTTTTTGTTTTCGTCTTTCTTGAGCTTTGTCCACATACCTTCTCATTTCTGTCTCAAAAGCTGCCAATACCATGAATAGGTTCAGTGTTCGCTCTTTCTTCATCCTCCATTTCCCTATTTTATTCTCATCAGTTTAAACGCGTTTTCAATTTGTACAATCTGTTTTTTTTTTTTTGCTAATCAATTGATGATGATTTCGAAGCATGCAATGGTACTTGGTGGTTATGTGGCAAATTAGCTTTGTTGTTCGTCGTTTTTCTCTGCTCCGTGGTATAGTTATAACTGTAGAACCTCAACAATTTGTTGGTGATCATGTTTCTGGTGGCTAACAAATCCAGCAATCTCTTAACTGTGTAGAAAATTGGGTTTCTTGCTTGATACTTGTGTTTTGTTCAGTTTATGATTCATCTCTTTGGCTTCGATTTGTTTAGTTATGATCCAGCTTACTTGGATAATAGAGAAGATTGTTTTTTTTTTCTGTCTGATGTAATTTGCTTCTAGGACAGGGTTCTTGCAAGGAAACTTGGGACAAATGTCTGTGGAACAAAGATTTTGCGGAGGACTTGTTCAACTGATGTGACACAGAAATTCTCTAGTTCTGGTTCTAATGTAAGATTCCTTCTTATGCCCTTGTGAATTTGCATAATTATCTTTTCTTGGAAATATCGGGATAGACACTCGTATTTTGCATATTGTTGTTTGTCGTACGATATCTAAAACTCTTTGCAGCTGTTGTGTGGATATTGACATCCAAAGTCTTCTCTTTTCAGTTGTCACTGTGGTCTTGTGGTGTAGTTTATCATGTTTGGGACATCAAGATATTTAGACATCTCTAAAATGGGATGTTGAAATATATTCTTATAGAATTTAAAGTCGCATTTACTAAATGATTTAGGAGAGCAATGCAGAAAAGAATTCTATGAATGATAGTCCGCAACATGACATTGCTATTGTTGGTGGTGGAATGGTTGGAATCGCTTTAGCTGCTTCATTGGGTAAGCAATGGTTGCTAGTCTTGAACCTCTCTCTCAGCCAACAAATAAATAGTTGTTTGTTATATGACATTTTTGTTGTTCTTTTAGCAAGCAAGCCATTGACAAAGCACTTGAGTGTTGCTATTATTGATAATAATCCTCTTTTGGGGAGAAAGAATATAATAGAGAAAGGGCACCCACCTGATCCCAGAGTCAGTACAGTCACACCTGCAACAATATCCTTCCTCAAAGGCATGTTTCTGCAACAATACGTTTCTGCAATTTCTCGTTTCTTCTCACCATTTTGCTCATTGTTCTTTCAAGATGGGGTGACCTTTTTAGAATTGGCTGATAAAAGAGCTTCCAAATGGTTCATTTAAGTTTAAGATACTGATTTTGCATCTTTGAACCCAGATTTGAGCTAGTCTTTGTATTTAGTCCATGGATATAATTTTTAGTTATTACTTTGGAATCATGTGGTTGGTTAATTGGCTTGCATTTGGTTTATATTATGCAGATATTGGTGCTTGGAGATACATTGAGGAACAGCGACATGCGTATTTTGATAAAATGCAGGTAATGATTGATAGCTTCTTACATTCCTTAGGAAGCTTTTCTATGATGGTTGCTGAATACTTTTAACTGCGTCAAATAAAGAGCCTAAAGGATTGGTTGTCTCTGCGTGACTTCATATAGATCACTAAGATTTGTGTCTATAATTTTGGTGGAACATATTTATTTATGGCTTATCGTTGGTTTGATTTTGTCGCCGCTTGCTTCTTATGATAGTATAAAGTAAACTTAAAAGCAAAACTAGAATCAGATGTAGGTATGATCTACTCTGTGAAGGATCTGCATATACTGATAATGATTTGCTAGACGTAATCAAAGTCATTATTTTTTGTGGTTTTAGGTCTGGGACTACACGGGCCTTGGATATACAAGATACAATGCTAAAGATGTCGATCAAGATATTTTGGGGTAAGTATATATCTGCATACATCTGCATCCTTGATGATGATAATAGCCGTGTCCTCCTTCTTGACATTATCCAGGTGTGTTGTGGAGAATAAAGTTCTTCAGAGTTCTCAGCTATCTTGTGTACAGGTATTTTGCTTTCTTGAGTCCGTCCAACTTTTATTCATCATCTTGATGCAATCTTTCAGGTTTCTCTAATAAGGATATGCTATTTGAGCCCATGCTTGGAACTTGCCTCTTGCATGTCCTTTTAATTTGATTTTTTTTTTCAACAAATGAAGCATAGCTAAAATATCTACCTTTCCAAAAAGCTTATCCATATTGCTAGACCTGTCTTCATCTGAATACTTATAAGTCTGCAACCATTTACTACTTTCTTCAACCTCTTAGTCAGATTATCTGACTTTAAAGAGTTATCAGTTTTGGCTTGTTCTTACAGTTACTACTTTCATAAATGAGAGATTTGATATTTTGCAGGAATCAGATCTCCAGAAGACTGTTTACCCCGCACGGTTAAACGCGATGGATATGCTACCTAGCTCTTCGTTGACTGGTCTTGGTGAAGTTCCATCCACAACAGACTTGTATATGCGAGGCCGCCTTGCTAAGCTGGAGCTAAGCGATGGAAACAGCGTCTATGCAAAACTAGTTGTATGCGTTTCTCGGTTTGATTGATTTGAGTGGAAACCATTTCTGAATCTCATTAATTGTTTGCGAGTGTCTAACAATGTTTGTGCAGGTAGGTGCCGATGGGTCTAAGTCGCGTGTGAGGGAGTTGGCAGGGATCAAAACAACTGGATGGAACTACTCACAGAACGCTATCATTTGCACAGTTGAGCACACAGTCGAAAACTTCACAGCTTGGCAACGGTTTTTACCAAATGGCCCCATCGCGCTTCTTCCCATTGGTGACAAGTTTAGCAACATAGTATGGACTATGGATCCAACGGAGGCGTCAGAACGCAAATCGATGAGCGAGGATGGCTTCATCAGAGCTGTAAACGACGCTCTGGATTATGGATATGGTCCACATCCAGGGGAAACGAGTTCGCAGGGGAGTCTCTCTTGGCTTACAGGAGATGTGACCATATCTGCCAAGGAGAGGTTCGAAACTCCACCAAAGGTTGTGAAGCTTTCTTCAGAGAGAATGATGTTTCCTTTGTCTTTAAGGCATGCAAAAGACTATGTGTCAAAGCGTGTGGCTTTGGTCGGTGACTCAGCTCATACTGTTCACCCGTTGGCTGGTCAAGGAGTTAATCTAGGATTTGCAGATGCGTCTGCTCTCTCTAAAGCTATCGCTGAGGGTATTGCTCTTGGCACTGATATAGGCGAGGTACGCCTCATCAGATTCTTCCAAGTCTAAAACCAAGTTTACTTCTTGTTTTACTTCCCATTGATGATTTGGTTTGGACCGTTATATTGTAGACGAATCTGCTCAAACGATATGAAGCGGAGAGAAAGCCTGCAAATATAGCAATGATGGCGGTTTTAGACGGAATCCAGAAGATGTACGCAGTGAATTTCGGACCGTTAAATGCGTTCAGAGCGGCTGCGTTTCACGGGGCTCACTACATTTCGCCGCTTAAGAAGCGTATCATATCGTATGCTTCAGGAGAACAGTCTTTGCCACTCTTTTCTTGAGAACACCAGTCTCTGATCTGAGAGACAATGTATCAAAAACTCTGAATCATCCTCTTCTTTTGCCTTACATATACTTTAATGGTGACTGAAAACAGCTTCTGGAGCCAACGTTTCAAATAAGCCTGTTCATGTCATATGACCGTGTAATCTAGAATTTTTATATCTCAGTCAATAAAATCTTGCATTTTCGGACACGGCCACATGGGCAAGACAAAGTCATTGTTCCATTTCACCTGTGTTATTATTACAGGAAGTATATGTGTTAACGGCGAGCAAACAATCTTAATCAGCTGTATATTTCTTTTATAGGTATACTTTAAAATGCAACGTATATGCACAATTTGTACAAAGCTCACTATATTTACAAAAATGTATCTCGAACTATTCTCGCCATTACTCGTGACCCAAGCCGGCTCATAATCTCTGGCAGTACTGTGGCAGAGATTCCAGGCAACACAGGAAGCAGTTCTCGAACCACTTGAGATACATCGACGACCTGTTTAACGATATTGACCACACATACGTTCAACACTCCACAAGTTTTCTTCTTAAATATGAGAAGGTTTTAAGAGATTTATGAATCTAACCTGATCGGGGTTATTCGACATGGAGCTTCTTGAGGTAAGGAACTCGATTACTTTCTGAACGTTGTTCAATATGACCTTGTCTTCTTCAGTCACCGATGGTAAAAGTGCTGCTGGCTTGAAGGGTCCCAATGTTGGTACCATACCAAAGATTGGTGTCGCGTTTCTGAATCCGAAGACAGCCATAGCCTGCACCAGTTGTTCTCTTGTGATTGCATCGATACCTTTTACTATCTGTTGAGTAACCACAACAATTGTCAGAACTCAGGATGCCATGAACAACAATTTTAATTAGCGTCTACAAAGTTATTGTCCAAATTCTCATTCAATATATGTTAGGTGGTCATTAGTACCTCATCCAGTAGAAACTCGCGGAAGAAGTTCCCTTTCTCGGAAAGCAGAAAAGACAAAGCGACTCTTGTTTGAGCTGGCTGGTTCGGTTGGGATGCACTGGCTTGAAACAAAGGAACCAGGCTGCTTCCCTGGTTTTGCATAAGAGCCAGCTCAGCCATGCCTCCATTCATATCTTCCCCTCCTCCACTTTTGGCTGCTGTAATGAAAGTCTCAAAGGCTTGCATCACGTCGATGAATCTCTCAGCATCAAAAACGCCAGTTTTCCCATATATTGTGTATCGTAAAGCCTCCCTCAGGCGAGGTGATTCATCGGTCAAGAGCCGCTAAAATTTAAGGTAAATCATATAAAAACATTAACCAGAAGGACAAACTTTTAGTCTAATTACTAGACAAATGTAATAGAGTTCGTCTTAAAATACCTGAGCTATGTAAGGATAAGCCTCGTCCACAATAGCAAACTCAGGATTCCCTACTAGAGCTATCCCTTCGAGCACACCAATTGCTCTAATTATAAGGGCGAAATAAGGAGGAATTCTGAAAGGATAATCAAAAGTTATCTGCGCCAAATCTGCTGCCAACTCTTGAAAGTTGATGTTTTTGGCTCCGCCACCTTCAAGTGCCTGATCAAAAACCTTGGCCAGGACAGGTAATATAGGTGCCAGATTGACCCCATCAGGGATGAAACCAAGTTTGACAAAATCTTTTACTATGGCATCATAATCTCGGTGAATTAAATGAGCAATGGCTTCAATCATTCCGTACTTCTGATCATCAGTCAATTTCGTAACAAGACCTGTCAATGAACAGACAAACATAAACTGTCAACAAAAAGACTTTTCTCACACACCATATTGACTGTAACTGTGTACCCAAATGCATATTTTTAGAATACTGAAATCGAAAATGCTAATTACCAAAATCGAGGATGGCAAGCTTTCCGTCTGGGGTACGAATCATATTTCCAGGATGAGGGTCCGCATGGAAAAACCCAGTATCAAGCAACTGAAGCACAACACAGTACCAGTGTTAGCAAGAACATGTAAATGCACATCACCTTGTTACCTGCTTTAGGTAATAAAATAATTTCTCTCCGCAACAAGTATGTATAAAGTGTTACCTGCTTTAGGTAACAAATAACACCAACATTCACAAGTTCACCGACGTCGCTCTCACGACTTTGTGATAGTTTTTCTCCATCAATCCACTGTGTTGTAAGAACCTTCCTTGACGTGTACTTTAGGTAGGTTTTTGGCACAACTACCTGAAACCATCAATTGTTGCACGATCAGGAACCATTCCAAGAATGTCAACCCACATAGGTACTTGTCAAATACATACTTATGATGGGTCGCCTCATATATAGACGAAAAACTGAAGTGTCCATTAGAAAAGTTATGAACCGTACTTGTGGAAGATCTTTCTTCATCATTTCTGCAAAGTATATACCATTTTCTCCCTCGTTAATATAATCCAGCTCCTCAAAAAAGCGAGCAGCCCATTCATCAACCAGTCCAACAACATCAACTGACACCTGCACGAATATTCCCAAAAGAAAGAGAGAGTCGAAAGTCATGGAGATGAACGGTGAAAGAGAACAATAAGTGCATAAGCTGAGCCGTCAGACGAAACCTTGCCTGAGGGAACTTCCGTAGAAATAGACCCAAATTTCGTATCACAAACAAGTCAACAGTCACAGTCTCAAGAACAAAAGGTCTCTGCACTTTCACTGCCACTAGATCCCCGTTTTCCTTTAATCTTCCCTTGTACACTTGTCCAAGGGATGCTGAAAAAACAAAATAACAATAAATCATCCGAACATAAGTCCACTAAAAATGATAAGATGGGCATAAAAAGAACATGGTCAAAATTTACCGGCAGCGATTGGGGAAGGAGAGAGCTCTGAGTAAACGTCGTACCATGGCTTCCCAAGCTCCTCCTCGATAAGAGCCATTGCTACATCATCAGGATATGAAGGGACCTTCACATAAACAGAAAACAACCACATGTATAGCCATGCTTAGACAGAAAAATCTAATAGGAGAAAATCAGATTAATATGACAACATATGAAGGGAACGGCAAAAATGCATCATTATACCTTGTCACAAAGCTTCTGTAGTTCTGTCATCGCAGCAGGGGACAAGATATCTGGTCGAATACTCAAAGCTTGCCCAAGTTTAATATACGCTGGACCCAAGGACGTAACAATTTCCCTCAATTCAATCGCCCTAGAAACCTCATTCTGAAAAATGATGACAGATGAAAAATGAGACTCAAACTGCATAAAAAATACTTGCAAGCAAAACAAAACTGCAACGTTAACAAAATTAAATACTGCAACTGTGAACTAAAAGGTTTCAAAAGATTTAAGGCATAGGGAACTAAAAAACGTTATGTTAATCACATATAGACTCTGCCAATTTTCCACATCATACACTTCCATGCTTGGGACAAGGAAGACACTAAAAGACAGGATACGGATTTTTTCAACTGTTGATTCACTCAATCCTACGTAAAGGATTCTACATAGATCACCAGAATCTGCAAGCCACAACTATCTTTTTCTGCTCTAGCTTCCTTTCTATGATAAAAGCAGTAAACCAGAAGATTACCTCTTTGACTTTCTTGTTTATTATATCTCCTGCAAGACGCGAGAGAAACCCTCCCGCGACTGAAAGTAATTGGATAACTCGACTAGCAACGGCACGGGGCCGTTTCCCCCAGTAAGCCGAGATGGTAGCCGGATCATATACCAAAGGTAAGAACTCACTGCTCTCACCAGTCTGCAAAAGCCCCAATGAAGAAGAAGCAAAACATCACAAATGCTACATCAATACTACTACAAAAATTAAAAAAAAAAAAAAAAAAAAAGCTGAATTGCCTAAGGATTTTTTTACCTCGACGAGCCTTAGCTGAATATTATCATCGGCGAAGACTGAATCCTTCAAATTCTGGCCACGAAGTCCTCTCATTAACGCAGACAACTGTTCGTCTTCTTCCATTTGAGCCCTCACTCTTTTAATCTCTTTCGATACATCGTTGATTCTCTGTTGATAATTTAACCATTAACACCAAAATTTAATCAAAATTTCCCCAAATCCAGCCACAAAATCGGGAATACGATGAATTTACGGATTATAAAGAGGTATAATCTTAACCGTGGAAACATTGTTGTTGACTCCTTTTGACGGAGACGATGAAGAAGATCCGTTTACGGTGGTGGAATTTGGTGACCCGGTCTGTGTAGGTTTGGGATCAGTAGCGACGGCTAGAATCCGTCGAGAGCGATGACGGTGAGGAATCCCGGAGACGAAGGAGCGGCGGGAGGAGACGGTAAAGCGAATTGGCTCCGGTCCACAGTAGACAAGCCGTGGCACTGCTGCTTCCATGGATTGGATAGGAAGAGAGAGAGAGATTTGAGTTTGGTTGTGGTGGATGAAGAAGAAGAAGAAGAAGAAGAAGCAGTGGCTCTCTACCTTCACTAAGTGGAAAGTGTTTGGTATTTCACCGGAAGGTAACGGCAATGGAGGGACCACGTGGCACAACCAAGTGCATAAGAAATTTCTCTGTGTTATTGATTTTGATTATTTTTGTTTTACAGATTCTTGGAATCTTGGGTGCAAGTGCAACTTCATAAAATAGATTAAAAAAAAAAAATTAAAGTAAAAAAAAAAATAAAAATATGGGCTGAGAGAGGCTCGAACTCTCGACCTCAGGATTACTCAGATAGCTATGAGACCTACGCGCTAGCCAACTGCGCCACCAACCCATTTGAAATAGTTGATCCACAATAGATTAACAGTTAAAAAAATCAAACCAACCATTTTCTTAGAAAGTTGATGAAAAAAGAATAAAACAAGTCATTATATACTTCACCTCATTTTTAATAATTCATCCAAAACAAAGATTAATGCTTAATATAACAAAGATGACGGACACAAGACAGGTCCAAAGAAGAAAAAGATGTTAATAGGAAATCCAACTCCCGACACACTAAAAAAAGAATGGTTCAAATTTGGTTTCCCTGCGAAAGAAACAACCCATTAAAAGTCCATTAATAGGGTAGAAAGGTACAAAGTTTCGAGTGATAGATGAGGATACTTAGTTGGAATTATCAGAGTCTCAAGAGCCGGAGGACAGTAAATTATCTTTAGGAAATTTAGAAGAAGCATAGACCGGAGTTTTTATTTCTTTCAGAAACTAAGCAAGATTTGTTTTTTTTTACAAAAGTTTAGTTCATTTTGATTATAATAAAATGTACACGGTTA